TAATAACACTGGTATTCATATGTCAGTAAAGTCCAAGTCCATATTTGGTAGGATATATATTGATTTTAAGGTCTTTAGAGAGCTAGAGCTTATAGTAGAGAAACCCCAAACCTCAAGAAACCTTCGAAACCGCCATATTGCGTGATATAGCGATCTCGCTTCCACACTACCTGTCTCTCTCTCTACGGATCTCGGATGTGTGTGAACTAAAATCATATTTTGTAATAAACTTGTACTCGGGTTTAATTAACTTCACACGTTACATATGCAGAGTGCCCCTCTCTAAGGTTTTGAGGCCGATCTTTTCGAACGGTGTTTTTTTTGGTGGGGGGGAAGGAAAGAGGGGGGCTTTTGTTTTTTTTTTTTTTAACGAGTTTAATGAAAAACCTTTAAAAGGTAATTAACGTATATTTTTGGCAGTTTTATGACAATTTTTGTGGCTTATGTTGTTGCTTAAGTAAGACGCTCGCACACACTGGCGCAAAACAGGTAAAAATTATGACCAGATACGAGATCCATATTTGTCTTACTTGAAAACAGGGGAGGTATGTACCTACATACATACATAAGCCTGTCTCACTTTTTGGGGTTTCAAGCCTTAGCTGCTACTGCTCTTCGGAGTGTTTAAAAAATTACTTAATTGCTGCCATAAACTGGTAACTTTTTTGTATTGTTTTTTTTTTCAACTCTTATTTGCTTTATTGTCATGACTCGGCCGCACACGGTGGCTACGATCGGTAGGGGGAGGGGATGGGGGAATTGCCAATCGCTGTCGACTTTCGGCCCAGACTGTACTTTTCGAAACCCTCCGAAAGTCTGAGAGTCCCGGAGTCGGGCAATCACATCACAATCAGAGTCACAATAAAAATAATAATAATAATAGTCACCGGGGCAAACTGGTTGTTAATAATAATAATATTTTATTGTTATTGCATTACCTGCTAAGTGATTAATGCCGAATTGTGGCTGACGAAAAAATGTTTTAAATTGAATTAGAGGGCATTTGAAATGGATGGGGGGTACTTATGCAATGGAATGCATGCTCGAAAGTCGAGGCTCGAAGGACCAATTTATGCGGGCCGGGCAATTGCATCATTAATTCAAATATAATCCAAACTATAGACCCGACTGGCTACTTAATTGATAAAGATCTTCAACTTAAGATTGAGCTACACTTAAAACAAATTCACTTCTCAAGTCTTAAGTATTAATTCCAAGATTTTTTGTATAGAAAATATTCTCCGTGTCTTTGTGGCTCATTATATCGTTTGGCTTTCGTTCGGGGCTTAATCAGGAAGTTTTTAATTACGTCGTACATTTTAACTGGCAGCTAACCATATCAAGTCCCCAGTCCCCCCTCTTTCTGTTGTTTCAATGAACAATCATCGTGTGGCGTCATTTAATTGAATTATTTCGAACAACAACAATAAAATTACAAAGAAAAAAAAGCGCGTTAAGAAATCAAAAAAAAAAAAAAAGATTTCTGCGTTTTATTTTTATGAATTTTCTGTATTCGGAATTCCTTTTTTTTTTTTAAATTTTTTTCTCCCGTCACTGCAGTGTGTAATTAATTTTTAATTTGACTCGCAGAAAATGGGTAATAAAAATTGTAAATTGTAGTCGCAGTCGAAGCCGGAGGGGGCTTAGACATCAAACATTAGTGGCTCGAAGGACCAAAAAAGAGAGGGTTGGCGATAGCGATTGTTTATTGAGTCGCAGCCCCCTTTTTGGCCACACAGGCTCCAGTATCCCAGTATCGCAGTATTCAATGTTTAATTTTAATTTTTTTTTTCCTTGACTTGCATTATTAAAAATGTAAACAAGGCCCGTTCGTTCGGCTGTCTTGGCCCAAACTTAACCCCCTCGCCGCAGCTAGAACCGCCAGCTGCCGTTGACCAGCAGCAAACAAAAAAAAAAAAATTGGGAAAAAAAAGTTATTATAATTCCCCGACCCCGCCCCGAATATATATTTTTTTTTCGTCCTGTAATCGCCTTCGATATGGCTGGAGTTCGACTTTGACGGCGGGCCTTTGGGCTTCTGACTTCGTCTTCGACGGAAACGGAAACGTAGCCAAAATGCGACGTCCCCTGCCTCTTTTCCAGCCCCCCCTTCCTCTGCTCTTGTTGTTATTTTTCTGGTGTAACAATAAAATTTCCTTTCCTCATTTTCCTCCGTTTTTTTTTTTGTTCTGTCGGTCGCCTGTATCCTTTCGCCAGAAAAAAAGCGGAGAAAATTAAATGAAAAGGAATCAAAGGCTGCAATATGCCGCTGTCTTGCGGCCCCATCCCCCCAGCTCCCACCACCCACACTGCCAAAACCCCCTTCGACACCGTCTGTTGCTGTTGTTAAAAAAAAATCCAAAAAAATGCAAAAAAAAAGTGAATAAAAGAAAGCCACAACCGAAACTGGCTAGCAATTGTTGTACTGTGTTTTTTGGCTGATTTTCCTCGTCTTTGTTGTTGTTTCTGTTTTTTTTTGGCTTTTACATTCTTAATTTTTTTTTGTTCTTCTTCTGTTATTTTCATAAACTTTCAATAATTTTTTAACTTGAGCCCATTGGCCAGAGTGCCCTGCAATCGGAAACGAGGGGTATTTGAGGACTAGTAATGGTACTAGCTATAAGATACTGGCATGGGAGCTTTGGTTCTAAAGGATCTCTCCATAATTCTGGTCTAAGAAGAACCATAGTTCTTTCTACTGAGACTTTCTTTAAAGTGGACTAGTCCTAGTGGTATGATGGATAGTAGCTATAAGGTACTAGATACTAGTACTAGTATCTATGAGAGCCCTCCTATTCCCTATCATTGTGGTCTAGGTAAGCACCCATAGTTCTTTCTCCTGAGACTTTCTCTATAGAGGACTAGTGCTAGTGGTATGAGGTTTAGTAGTTATAAGGTACTTATATCCATCTTATAACTTTAATCCTATAATTAACACAGTTTTGGACTATTTTGGACCTTTCCCCTCAAGACCTGCTTTAGTAATAGTAGTGTAGAGTACAGAACCTATAAGATATAGCTTCTCAAAGCCAGTTTTAGTACTAGTACCATAGAGTATACCACCTATATACTATATATACTATATACCTGAAGTTACAGCTCACTCTTACAGTCGCCTAAGCTCATAGCTTTCTTCCAAGACTTGTTCCTTCCAAGTCGATCCATTTCGTGTTTTTTTTTTCATTTTTTTGTGTTTCGGCTACTCCTTATTAATTTTGGTGCAATTTTTCGCCCCTTTCGGAAATCCTTTCAGTTCCCCCCCCTCACCACACCCTCTTCAGGACCTTGTTTATCCTGGCCAGGCAGTTGTTGTTCGCGGTGGGTGGCCCGCCTGCTGCTTATCGTAATTTATTTGGCCTTTCCCTTTTGTATTTATTTTTTTTTAAGGTTTTCACGAAAGGCGGTGCAACATTAATTTCTATATTGAATCCTTTATGGACTCGCCCCCCGACTCCGAGGAGTTGGAGTTGCGTGCCATCGCTATCGCTCCAAATTGTCAGTTAAGCGACTTTCAAAGTCGAAACTAGCGATATAAGGTCGGATTGGTGGAATTGAATAGATGGATTTCCCATCGAGGCTGGTAATTTGTGATGGGAAGTATCGTGTGGGCCAATAATCTGTTGACATCAGACCAGGAGGAGGAGAAGGTGGGTCTACCACACATGGAATTAAAAAGCAAATAAACTTAGGGAACTATGGGGAAGGGTGATGGGAAAGACATTCACCTAGACCCTCAAGAAACCCGGAGACTGGCCAACTCTGGTTGAGGGTCTAGAGTGGGAGCACCGACATCATCCACCTTTTAATTGTGGAAAAATGGAGTAATGACGGCATCCGAGTTCGGCTTTCGGCTTTCGGAAGTTGGCGTTTTGAGTTAGTATTATGTACTATTATTGTTATTATTTTAGTTACCCGGTGCGGTCTTAGACAAACAGAAAGTAGCATTGCATGCCGAGCGTTTCGGGCCACTCGAGAGGCTGTCTCTCTCTCTCTCGTACTCTATACGCAACCACATCCGGCCCTTGTCTTGGGGGGAAGTGGACCCCCAACACGTACTTGGAGCTTGGCTATGTTGTGTGTGAACGGCGCTCCCACACGTGAACTGCCATATTGTTAGCTTCTGGAAACTGCCAGCCAGCGGGAAAGTTCAGTGGGTCAGCCACCAAATCGGAGGAGTAGGTTTTATCACTCGAAGGTGGCAGCCAGAACTGCTGCTGCTTCTGGTCATTCACTTTGTTTTTTTTTTGGAAAGGAGCGGAAAGTGTGGGAAAGGTGTTAGGTCCCAAGTAGGCAGTGGGTGGCAGTAACCTCCGGTGTAACCACCCACATTCTCCTTCTTTCTTTCCAATTGGCTCCTTAATAAAAATTCGCATGTCGTCGAATTTGACATTCGCCTGTCAGGATCTGGAAATTACTTTTGTTACCTCCTCCTCCAGAACAGAGGAAGCGATACATATTCTTTTTTTTCCACCATGGGGGCAAGTCCATCAATCATCAGTCACACATCCGAGCCGGGACCGAGCTGAGCTGCGCACTCAACGTAACATTCAAATCAATCAAAATACCAAGTCGCACAGAAGTCGGAGAAATCTAAATGCTTTCCTTTCGTTTTTATTTTGGATTTCGGGCAAAGGATCTGGCTTTCGGGCGGGCTATGGGTGTATCAGAGGGTCAGAGGGCATCAGAGGGTCGTATGCTACACCCCCTCCTCAGTTGTATGCAAAACGCAAATCTAATTTTTCATCGAATATGTACCGCCTGGTAGAGTAGTTTTATTCCACATTCCCTGATGAAGTCGTTGGCTCGAAATGAATGAGTAATGTGCCCAGAAAGTGGACCGTTCGGGGGGTGGTAATGCTCATATGGCGTGCTTTCTCTACAATCCATATGGCATTCGATTATTTTCGTTTTTTTTCAAAATTTTCTGCCTCAAGTAGGCTTTGGTAGGTATATAGTAGGCCTTGGAATTGGCATATTTTGGACCTAAGCACATTCGGCTCCATCTAACAATCATTCGATCCAAGTGTATCAACACATCGACAACACAGCTCTAGCAGCGCCCTAAAATAATAATATTATTTTAATTTTCAAAATCCTCCAGTAGATTAATTTTCACTAGTTTTACGGTGTAAATAATTAATATTTTTTTTCGAAAATATTATTATTTTTTCAAATTCAATTTCAAAGTTTGGTAAGTATTATTTTTCATCTTGGTGAGTTGGTTTGGCAACCAATACTCCCTTCCAGTTCAAGGCACTATGCAGTCCCTGAAGTCCATTACCGTGAGCGCCGTGAAGGGGCAGCTGCAGAGACCCGCGGTTGTGGTGAGGTCGATTCGCATGGACTCGAAACTGTTGGGTTTAAAGAAGGGTTTCCCCAACACCAAGGTGTCGGCCACTGTCCTCAACAGTAATCTGCCGGAGGATGGGGAGACGGAGCTCAAGCCGGAGGAGCCCCGCAAGCCGGCAGATCTGCCGGCACCCATCGTCACCCACCGACGAAACGAGATGGACCAGCGCGCGACCCGGAATACCCAGTATCAGGAATACCTGAAGCACCTGCTGGACAAGCAGAAAACAAAATCAGAGGAACGCATCCAGTGCATGCCGTTCGTGCCGGCTCCAGCCCCGCCGGAGAACCCCATCCGCAAACACTACGACACCCCGGAGGCCCTTCTGGAGCAGGTCAGCGATCCCATGGAGCTGGCCAAGGAGCTGATACGGGTGCGGCGACAGTTGAGCTCAGAGAAGGCGCGTGCAGATCTCTTATTGCATCATTACCTGGAACTGGAATCATCGAGATGCACTCCTGACCACTCGCACCCATCCACCTCCTACTCCATGCCCTCTATCCCTCTATCCTTATCCAAAACCTCCTCCACCTCCCAGATCCCCAACAAAACCCCCTCCACCACCCAGATCCCTTCCAAGTCGCAGACCACCAAAACCACCACCCCCTCCAAAGCGGCCACCTCCACCTCTGGCACCACCACCACCCCGTCAAACGGCGCCAACTAAACCCCATGGACTCCAAGGACCCCCGCTAGCGCGCTACTAACTGTCGGATTGTAGTAGAATAATTTTTTTGGCATTATAATTTAGGACATATTTTTATAATTTAGGACCCCCCTCTTTTTGTAACGAAAAAAAAAATATAAATTCAAAATTGAAAAACCTTTAATTTTTTAATGGGGACTGGGGGGGGATAGAGGACTTGTTGCATTCCTCCAACCGTTGCATTCTGATGAAAACAATTTAGATTAGATTTGAGTTCCAATCAGTGCCTGTCCAGCAGCCTCCAGCAAGCCATTTGGCTAAAAATAGCATTGTGATCGCATATAAATTATAATTGAAATTATCCATACACTTGCTCTGATAAAAAAAAAAAAAATCAGCGGGTGAGAGAGAGAGAAGTGAGCGGATCGGGCGGATATATATCATGTGCGAGCGGAACACGGTGCTGCTGCTGCTGATGATGACTTGATTTGAAATTTGAAGTGATATTTTAAGAAACTAATGCCGCCATATCTTGCCGCTGACAGTCGCAAACTCGGACCGTGCGCGGAGGGTGTGGGGGTGGCGTCGTGTCTTATCCGCCCTCGGCTGCCTCCACCCCATCCCGGCAGCACTTCGTGGGCATGTTAAATGTCATTTAATAGTTGACAGTTGCACTTGCTGCTGCTGTTGCTGTTGCAGCAATGATTATTGCAGTAGTTTATTTTTTTTTTTTTTTGTATCTGCAGCTAGGAAAAAATTTATGTGTAGGTGGTTTTAAATTTATGTGGTCGCCGTTGTCGCCGCCCGACGCCCGACGCCAAAAACAAGTCGCGAAAATTCTTTTGAATTCGGTTCGTTTTTCTTTAATAAAAGTAAATTTTATTGCTTACACTAAAATTGTACGTATAGAATGGCGAGCAGGCTAATGCTCTCGCGCATCTGCGGGATGCCACTGCAGATACAGATACAGATACAAGTGCGAATTGGGACGCAGATGCCCGGATTCCAATACTCTGGCCAGGTCATTGGAGACCAGATCCTGTGACCAGAAGGCGGCGGCTTGTGGGGGTTTGGCTTCTAGCTGGTATTGATGGTTGGTTCTTCCAAGGCTTCTTAAGGATCAGGGCTCCAGAGGAATCGAGGAATTTGTAGTTTTTCTGTAATTTTGAATGACTCAGCTAATATTTGACAGCTTTTGAAAAGCTATACATGTTAGAGATGAGAACTATGAAAACTATAATCGTATGTATAATAATTCCCATCGAAACCGTCAATATAATATTTGGCCCATGATTTCGAAGGATTTTGGCCAAAAATTGGTAGAATTGATAGACATTTGGATGCAGATTTGTGGGGACTATGTTCTGGAATGTTATGTCCCAGACTGAGAACTCTCAATCACAATTCCTCATCAAAATATAGCAAAAACCATTTTGAACCTAATTTCGCATTTTTTTTAAGGGTTACCATCAGGATTTTTGACAAAAATTGGTTGAAATTTTGTTGTATGGGATATTCCAGATATTTTTAAGCCGATTCAAGGGGACTAGAACACTAATTCATAAATGGTATTCCGATTTAAAATCGGTTGCTAAATAAATCAAAAATGCACTAAAAAGTCCATTAAAAATTCATATTTTTCAAAAATAAAAAATCGTCAAAATCATGGTTCCAATTTTTCGTTATTTTTAAAGAAAAATAACTATAACTTTGCCAATACTCGACAGATCCTGGAATGTTATGCCTTCCCAAGCTCAGAACTTTCAGTAGTATAATTCTTCATCAAAATAAAGCAACAAAACTTTTAAACCAAATTTCGCAATTTTTCTAAGGGGTACCATCAGGATTTTTGACAAAAATTTGAGTCAAAATTTTATTTGCCCAATATAGCAATATTTTAATGCAGATCGAAGGTACTGGGATCCCTGATCTATAATTGGTATTCTGTTCTTGAATTAATTGAGAAATGGATAAGATATGCACTAAAAACTCAAAAAAAAATATCGATTTTAAAAAATTATAAAAATTTTAAAACTGCTTTCATTTTCTTTAATTTTTTGAATGAAAAATATGTATAACTCGGCCAATACTTGGGTGATAACCAAATATCATACCTTCCCGAACTCAGAATTCAGAGTAGAATCATTTTCAACCAAAAACCAGCAACAAAATTTTTTACTAATTTTTTCTAATTTTTCCAAGGGGTACCATCATAATTTTGGACAAAAAATTAACCAAATTTTTTTTCTTCTTATATTTGTGATATTTTGATGAAAATCGAAGGGGATTAAAAGGCTGATTCAAAAATGGTATTTCGTTTTGGAATCGGTTACGAATTACTTGAACTATGCGCTAAGAAGTGTCTTCAAATATCAGATTTTGAAAAAATATAAAACTTCAAAAAAAATGTTTCTAATTTTTTCAGTTTTTTGAAAGGAAATGTTGATAACTTGGCTTATTCTTGGCAGATTGGGAAATGTTATACCTTTCCAGACTCACAATTCTCAAGAGTATGATTTCCAATAAAAACCTTGAAACAAAAAAATTGACTCATTTTTTTCAATTTTTTTTTTTTGAAGTTTCTTGATCCTGATCTTCATCCTGATTTTTGAAAAAAATTCTTAAAATTTTTGCGTTTCATATTTTGGTGGGATTTTGAGAATATTGAAATCCTGATTCGAAAATGGTGGTCCTTTTTGAAATCGGGTAGCAAATGCCTAAGATATGGGCTAAAAAGTGGATTACCATGAAATCGGGGAACTATTCTTAATTTCTTCTATATATCTTTCTGATCCACAAACTTTCCACCTTCCCGATTTCGGATCTCTTCTTCTCTAAAAATCTCTTGACTGTTGATCTCTTGGCCTTTGACCCGGCCCTCGCCCGTAGAAAGAAAGAAAGCTACTGTTTATTTATTTTTTTTTGGCAAATCATAGAAATGGCGCCGCGGTCACGGATCGTCACAAACGTAGCTACATATATATAGATAGATGACGGAGGCGGTACAGTCGCCTCGGATAAGCCCCGAAAATCAGTCAGTTCGTCAGCCAGTGGGCCATTTAGTCGTTCAGTCAGTCAACCAGCCAAGCGTCTCCGAGTTCACGTCGCTTTATCTGAAGTGGCTGCTCAAGTTCCACCTGTTCATTTCTCCCCCTCGGTTGGATCTGTGTTTTTTTTTTTCGGGTTTCGGTTTCGGTTTAGGTTTAGGTTTCGGCTTTCCAGTTTCTTCGAGTGTGAGCCATTTTTTTTTTGTTTTCTGGACGAATGCCTCTAATATGAGTTAACAAAAAAAAAAGCTAAAAAGAACTTAGAAAACTGAAAAAACATTTTTCAAATTTTATGCTCATTGTTAGTTATGTATTTTTTATATTTTTTTTGGGTGGGTTTTTGTTTTTGGCTAATTAGCGTAGCCCCTGGGAAATGGAAATGGATATGAAAATGGAAATGAAAATGCCTCCGCCTTCACCCGCAGCTCACTGTTGAGCCAAAAATTTCTCTGAACTGCCACTCCATTATATCCATAGGAGTATATACCAGGTTGTGCCATATAATCCCACATTCACATCCACCTAGTGTTCGACCGACTTGTGTTGTAGCTGTTTTGCATAAATTAAATATTATTCGGTCGGTCGTTGCCGGTGGGTGGCTTGGCCCAGTTGACTGGCTATTTCAGAGGTGAGTCCGAGGGCCAGGAATCTCAAGTGCCACTGACTTGAGAGAATCATTGTATTTCTGGAAGACTATACCTAGCAGATCTGAAAGTTATTAAAGCGTATACCCCCACATTGTTTTTGGACCTCTAGTATCTCACACTATAAAAATTAGCTGCTAACCCCCCTCCCCCGTGGTGCTCGTATTAAGACCACCATTATTACTATTTGGGCATTGTTTCTGACCATTTGGCGAGGCATTGCCTCGGGTTCAATGACTAATTTATGAAAGTTACCCTGACTTGACTTTAATTCTGTTCTATAGCTCCTCTATTATACTTTTTTTGGTGGAAACCATCGTAGCGTTGGTTGGTTTTCTAATCGGAATTCCATCGAAGTGCGATCCACCGACTCGCCCTCACAACTTTCACCGCGATCGCGATCTGTGGATTCCGGGAAGAGGATCTCCTTGCGCTTCGTGTTTACTTGTGAAATATCGCGTCTGATAGGTCCTCGTTACCTGTTTTGAGGTTAACCTCAGAGGCTGCCGAACAGGTACATATGTATGTATATACCTCTAATGCACCGCCGACAAAGGTGCTAGGATATCCGGCCTCACCCCAGCCCCAGCCCTCATTTTACGCCTCTAATTGAGCCATAATACTGTATCGAAGTCGATCGCAGCGCCGCAAGTAAATCAATTTTTATGCTCCACTTTGCAGTTAAATTGGTGGCGACACCGCTGCGGCGCAAAGATACAGATACATTCACATCCAAAAGATACACGTGCTCTGGCTCTGGGCAAAAAAAAAAAAAAACAAGAAAGGAAAGCTAACTTCGGGCAGAGCCGAAGTTTATATACCCTTGCAGTTAAAACCGGATATATATCGCAAACATCGGATATAGATGGCCGATCCTTATGGGAATAGGAATATATAATCCAATTTATTACAATACAAAATCTAAAAAAGTCCCAAACTTCTATCTTCAAAAATACGAAAGTTGATATTTCTACCAAATACCATTTCCGATCGTTCAGTTATATGGCAGCTATGGGATATAGTCGGCCGATCCTAATGAAATTTGGTAGGTTGGATCAACTGACCAAGAATTAAATCTGTACTAAGTTCCAGCTTTCTATCTTCAAAAACACGAAAGTTGGGTCATTTCCGATCGTTCAGTTATATGGCAGCTATAGGATATAGTCGGCCGATCCTTATGAAATTTGGCATGTCGTATTATTTTGCCAAAAATAGCTCTCATGTCAAATTTGAACTCTCTAACTCTAAAAACACCAAAGTTATACCATTTCCGATCAATCAGTTATATGGCAGCTATAGGATATAGTCGGCCGATCCGGGCCGTTCCGACTTATATACTGCGTGCAAAGGAAAGAAGGGTGTGTGCAAAGTTTCAAGTCGATAGCTTTAAAACTGAGAGACTAGTTCGCGTAGAAACAGACAGACAGACGGACAGACGGACAGACGGACAGACGGACATGCTCATATCAACTCAGGAGGTGATCCTGATCAAGAATATATATACTTTATAGGGTCGGAGATGTCTCCTTCACTGCGTTGCACACTTTTGGACAAAATTATAATACCCTCTGCAAGGGTATAAAAAAAACAAAGATACAAAGATATAGTCGCGTCTCGTTACATTAAATATGCATCAAAAATTGATGATGATGCATTTTTAACGATTCGTTGGAGATTTTTATGTCGCCAGAAATGCATTTGACAGAGCATCGAGTCGCGCTTGATGTATGTTTCAATACACATGTCCATCATGCCATCACTCCATCACATTCGACATCTCCCCCAGCTTCAGATCCATCTCCTACATCTCCATCTCCATCTCAAGTTGGATCTCCACCTTCGCCCATTTATTTGGACTTGTTTGTCGCTTGTCTGCGCCTCAATTTGATTTTAATGGCCTTTTGATAAATTCCCTCCGACCTCTGGATCCACCATAGGCAGTGCACCTAGTAGTGGTAGTATATAGTAGTAGTACATGTCACTGGCGATGGGCGGCGCCACTTTGCAACGCTCACACGCTGCGCGTTAGCCTGGACAGTTTGTAATTATTTCTGTGGCCAAATTGAATTGAATTAAAGTGAAGAGGCCAAGTGCACACACCGGGAACCGGGCTCCCTCTCCTAGATGAGGGCAACGACTAAAAAATACCTCTTTAGATGTATGTAGGTATCTAGCTTGGTTTATAGATTCCCATATGCCCCGTCATGAGTCCCTTACCCAGCATAATGAAGTTGGGAGTCGAGCGCAAATGAACAACGAACTTTTTTTTTTTTTTTTGGCCACAGTTGAGTGATTCCTGGGTGTCGTCGTCATCATCGTCTTTTTGGTCTCTTTGGTCTCTTGCACCTGTAGAGCCCACCAACCAACCAACCACTCGGCAGTTTTTCCCACTTCCAGACGTCGATGGTAGTTGTAGTCGTTGTACTTCGTATTCGTGGCCACTGTCACTGTCAAGCGTAATCATAATTTATTGTAATTATTTTGTATTATTTTTTAAAATTGTTTTAATGAGTCGTCTTTGTCGTTCGCTGATTCGCTGATGTGACGACGGCACCTTACTTCACTGTTTTCTGGCTTTCTGGTAGAGTGTTTCACCTCGATCTGGTCGGTAATTGCATTATAGATACATTTCCATGTTGCGATCACTGATCACCGTTGTTGTTTTGGTCGTCATTTCATAATCGGAAGTGTTGAGGAGCTCCGGAGCTTCTGAGAGTGTCTACCACCTCCACCTTCTCCCCCACCTTCTCCACCCATTATCCAAGCAACTTTAATGAGCCGCAATTATTGAAATTTCTCAAATGCAACGGCCCATGGGAGGAGCATTTCCTTGTACACTTTTCTGATGGAATCTTGACAGTGTTTATCGACAGAAGATTGGGTTCCTTGGGAGACAGCTGTTAGTATATGGGTCCATTATTCTATTACCAGGTGGTATTGCACAACTACTATTTTTGGAGGAGGCTGACTCTCAGTCTCTGGCACCTGTTGATCTTTCGCAAATATTAGATAGTACCAACACTCTGAACAATGAGACCCCTAGTCTGAGTACACACACCCATGAATCTGTATATAGCCCCCGATAAGGTTTAAGAATCCATCCGTCCCCGAAAACCCACTTCTCCCGGGCACTTATCAGGCCCGGATTGCGTGAATTGCGGGGGTGTTTCTTATTTTTTTTTGGGTTTCTATTTGTACTGGCATGTGTCTCTGTTGAAGGAACTGCGATAAGATACCGGACCGGGGCTGTGATTACGATATATGTAGGAATCCGAGTTTTGTCGGTTCTCCAGCTCCAGCTCCGGGGTTTTCAGTTTCCATCAACAACAACTAAACCGCAGCATGCCAAAGTCATGAGGCTAATTTTCCAAGAATACAATGTGATTTCGTTTTTTTTTGGGTTCTAGGTTCTAGGTTTTGGGTTTTAGGTTTATTTTATTTTTAGGGGAAGTTGTCCCCCCACACACAAATAGTAAATAAAATGCTCACAACAATGGCACTTTACTTCAGATTCGAAATCAAAGCAATGGTTTCATTGTTTGCACTACAGCGATAAGGTGGAAGCTTGTCGGAGAAACTAGAAGAAAAACAAATGATAATCCCAGATTCTAGATTCTAGATCTTCAGATCTCTTAACTCATAGTATCTGACATGTGGGTAGTCTACTAATCTTATTGACTTGGAATCAGTCTTAACTCTAAGAACCGCACTATTCTCAGGCCCAAGCCCCCAGCTCCCTAGCTCTACAGCTCCACAGCTCCACCATGATTGTCGCCATCGTTGTCGTGCTCAGCTCATTATTTTTACGAGTCTTTGTAGCGTCGTCTTCCACCTTTTGGCCATGTTTCTTCTGGCTTCTGGCATTGCAAAGTGATCCAAATCTATTGACTGAACTCCCAGAGACAAAGACAGGGATAGACTATCTGAGAGGCAACACCTGAGAACCGTCGAGCAACCGAATGGATTGTTAAGATACTTTTTATGGCACTCTCGTTGTGTTGCCTTCCGCCGCTGCCACTGCCGCATTTCTGGCTAACTAACATATTTATGTATGTGGATATTTTTTATTGCCATTCATGCATAATGCCAAAAAGATAAATAACAAATAAATTTCATACTACTTATATAGTATGTATGTATGTACTTGGTTCTGTGGCTTGTCTTGGCTCTCTTGCTCTTTCCCATATTCAGGTTGGTAATTATTAATAAATGCTGCCTGCCCCTGGCACCCCCTCCCCCCCATGGTATTCACGCTTCGTTTGGCATTGAAGAAGACTTAAGATGGGTAGAAACCCGAACCCAGACTAAACTAGACCATAAAAAAAATGGACGACTCAGGCCGTGCCCTCCACCGAACTTATTGTGTCTTTGGGAGTTGAATGCTCCTCCCAGAAGATCTTTCATTGCGATTAGTCTACAAATATGAAAAAAAATATTTAATTAGAATACAATCAAAGAGAACTCTTTCTTCAGTCAATGTCAAGGACACCGACAAAAGTCCATCCTAAAGCCCATCTGTTGTTATGCTAAATACATATATTCAAACCCGATCTTTAGTTCAGACTCCGCGTCAACCCGTCAACCAAAGCTGTCAACTACTTTCGATATCCATTCATATGCCCATCTCATATGTGTATGGTATGTGGTATGAGGACTTTGGAATGTGCGGAAGAGTTTTTTACACCACCCTCGCCTCATTCTGCTGGAAACTGCTTTGCATATTGACATCATCATTTTGCTGTAGAGACGACAAAACTGTCAAACAAAACAATTGCTGTCAAATTTAGCACAATGGAGCACAACAACAACAACGAAAAAAAAATGGAGCTGTCAAAGTTTTTATGGCAGGCCAAGAAGCAATTTCAACATATCAATAAATTTTTGACATCTCCCCCGAAGAAAAGAAACGAAACAAATAGCAAGGAGAACACCTTTTCAATAAATTTGCTACAACTGTCAGCGAAACAATGTCATTGTCACGACGCCGCCCTCACCTCACTCCTTTTGCCCCTTTTTTTTTTTTTTTGAAAGGAAGCGACCTATAAACCTGTCACAGGACCCTGGCGCATTCAATTCGATGGGTTTTTGTAGGATAGGGTATGGGTAGAACGACGACGACGACATTATTGTCGCTAAACAAACGATCAAATGGCAATTTAAAAGTTTTTATTTAACACTAAATCACCCACTCCACCATCGACCGCACCACCACCACCGTGCCACCGTGCCACCGTGCCATCATGCCACCATGCCACCCAATCCAACCACCTGACATTCGCTTTCTTTTTCAATTTCGAACCCCTTTCTCTGCGGCAACCAAAGAACCCAACCCTTTCGCGATTTTCAATAACTTTTGCCAGGCAAAACGAACAAAAGGCGCAAAACTTTAGCGACTTAAATTATGGCCTTGTCTTCTCCGGTCCCGCTCCCGCTCCCGGGCCCAGGACTTGCCTCCTTGCTCCTGACGCCTGGCAGTGTTTTTTTTTCATTCATCGACTCCCAGCGGAATTTAGAGTCCTGTCGCCTGCCGTTGCATGTATGAAAAAAAAAAGTGTCTGACACAATAACAGAAGCCGCTGCGGACGGGCATCCAGAAGGTGGCTCAAGGCTTTCAAGGAGCTAAAGGACAATTGACACGGGGTTAGATTTCGACCTTGGCCGGGGGTGTAGTGCCGTGCCGAATCCTTTAAGATGGGTTTTCCACCTGTGCGGCAACATGTGTTCGCGAGATAGACTTTAAAACAGCGATTGGAGAGCTTTAAGGATTACACTTCAAGTGCCATTTGATCCTTTAAGGACCTGATTGAGTCTTAAGGAAGAATCCCTCTATCTCACCACGATAACTTGACAATTTATTGAGCTCCAAACAAACGAACAGAATACATAGGCTCTCCAAAAAACATGGTCAAGTGCCCCTAGAGGGGGGAAGAGGTCCTGCGCAAGGATTAGGGGGTGGTGCTCTGGGCAGGAACTACTTCCAGTGCTGCTGCGGCTGGCGGTGATGGCTCCTCTCATCCCGCTTGTTCATGAAGGCAATCGTTAGGTGGCGCTTGGCCGGCGTCAGGGATTGCTTCGAGTTCTGAGGCTGATCTGCTGCCAGGGCGGCGATGCTACCCAGGCTACTGCCCACCGGGACGTAGCGGTTCCGGCGACGACGGGGGCTGCCAGCAGAGGATGCTCCGCGAGCTCTTCCCAGTCCACCGCCCGCCGCCCGGACAGGCGAAGTCCTCGCGCCGGAGGCGGCCGGTTGGCGGAATCGCTTCACCCGCGAGCTCACGCGCTCCAGCGACCGTCGATCTGGTGACGCTGTCTTGCTCTTCGTTGGGGTATTTTTGGGGCCCCCTTTCGGCTGGTCCTGGGGATCCGGCTGCTGCCACACCCTCCGCTGCCGGAAAACGCCGGAGCCATTGCTCTGCGGCTCGTCAATGGCCTCCTCCCGCTGCAGTTCCCGCAGTAACTGCTCCTGCATCCTGCGGTGGTGGCGCTGCCGCTTCGTGATGTTCAGCTTTCGTTTCAGGGACGGAATGGGCGTGCCAGGCATGTTCCGGCGGCTCCGCTGCAGGCTCAGACGGTGGTTGGACAGTCCGGCCTCCATGATGGCCCGCCCGGGAGTGTCGGTTCCTCCTTGGAACTGGTACGGAGTGTACCAGGGGAAGCTCACGTTCCTCATCTGCCTGGCCACGTGGGACTGCTGCTGTCGCCGGGCGGGTGGTGGTTGGTGGATCTTCGGCTCCTCCTTTATCTTGATCTTTACCGACTGGTCGCTCTTCTCGTCCTTGTCCGAGTTCTTCTCCACCCACTCCACGTTGACCTTGTCCAGCGCCTCCGACGCCTTCTCGGCCACGTTGGAGGTGGTGGCCTCGGCCTTCCCGGGGACCGGCTTCTGGCAGCCTCCCGAGAGCCGCTTCTTACGCCGTCGCACCAGCCAGGGCTTCTCGTAGGTCCTCTGGAGGAGTGGCAGCTGTTTCTTGTTGTACCGGGGCGCCTTGAAGTTTTTCTTGATGAGAGGCTTCTTGCCGGGCGCCGGCTGCTTCTGCGGGGCCGAACCGCTCTTGGGCAGGGGACTGGGGGCGCCGCCGGCCACCAGACGCCTTCCGGCCGCGTTCAACTGCCGCTGCGAGCGCCTGGAGAGGACCCTTCTAGCAGACCCCTGATTGGATCCAGGAGGGGCGGGCGCAGGGCGGGGCACCGCCGGCTTGGGGGCGGCTACCACTGACGGCGCCTTCTTGGGGACCTCCTGGGCCTCGTGGAGCTTGATGGTGCGCGGTGCGCGGTGTCGTGGCTTCTTGGCAGCCTGGGGGACGTGGAGGAGGATCTCGCGGTTCTCGCCCTCCTGCGGCAAATGGTTGTCCTCGATGATGACCCCGTTCAGGCTGCGCACGGTGCCGGCATCGTCCAGCTGGAACTCTGTGGTGGAGCTCTTCTTGGTGCTTGGGTGGTGCTGCTTCAGGGCCGAGCGGCTCCTTTTCTTCTTCGGAGACGGGACGCGCTGTTTCCGAGCCGGGGGCGAGATCTTGCTGATGGGCAGCTGGGGCTTCGATGGCATCTTCAGGATCCGTGAGGGTACTGGTTTGACGGCAGCCCGCTGGCGGGGTGGGGACTTCACTGGCTGGAATTTGGGCTTGGGATTCCCCATGGGCCGAGATTGGATCCTATTGGCCAGACGCGGCTCGTGGAGCAGCAGGTCGTCGAAGGCCTCCTTGGACTGGGCGATCAGCTCGGTGAAGTTGAGGCGGTCGGGCTTGGCGAAGTACATGTGGCCCTTGTAGTCGGCCACCTCGCCCAGGCTGTGATGCTCGGCCACCACCTGGGCCACCACCCGCTTCATGGCGCTGCGATTGAGCTTCAGATGGTTGGCCACATTCCGAGCCAAGGCCTTCAATGCCCCACCCGATCCGCCCACCTGCGGGGAGCTCCAGATATTCTGCTGCATGCCAGGGCCTCCAGGGAGTGGGTAATATGGGATATATCGGTCGTATTGCGGGTTTATGGTTTCCGAAAGGTTCACTAGCAATTTGGATCAAGCCGGAAGGATAGCCAATGGGTAGTAGGGTTCGCTGCAAGCCTATTTTAAAATCCTCCTTGTTTTTTCGTAATTTTGTTTGGCCAATTTTTAATTTTAGTTTATTTTTTTTTTTAAGATTTTTGAGGAGTTAGGTCGGATTTTCTGCCTGGATGATCTGGAAGTGTGTTGTAAAAGTGAAAACCTTGCGTTTACCGGAAGCTTGCCAAGAAAATGCTCAAGGTTCTTAAAAAAAAATATCTGATAGAAAGTGTCTACTTGAAAGTTGTTTGAAAAGTCAATGGCTACTGGGTTGACATCCCAAACCGATTGATGGAGCGTGGGGGTGCAGGTGATCCAGGGTCTGGATCTGCAGCTGCCCGGCCGCCACGTGCTATCGAACGAGGTCGTCGTACAGGTAGTTCCCAAAAAGAAAACCATCAAAACTCGACCGCAAAACAGGGGTCGAAGAAAAATTATAAATGATTTCATTAAGACGAGCGAACGAGGAGCAATGCACCTGCAACAGCCACCATGCACCTTGGGCAGGTGAAGTGGCATGGGTCCTCGTAGGATCCCTCCTATATAGGGGTTGGAAAAATGATTTACACAACGCGCCGCTACAGTTCCGATGTTGATAATGATGATCCGCTTCAGTAACGAAGACGGCACTGGGATAGGAACTATACTGGAGGGTACACCCGAAAACCCTTCGCCAAGTTCGATTCGCCCCCCTCTTGCAGTCGTAGTCTGCCCCTCGTTTGGGCCACTTAACCGTAATTAGGGCTTTTCAATATTATTAATGATGATGGTCGCTCGCTGGCCTGAAAATGTGGGAAATGCATTGCGAATTGATGACGACAACGTCAGTGGCAGTGGCCCAAGAGGACCGGGGACAGGGAGGGACTGACTGGCGGACAAACTGGCGGACAATGAATGCAAAAATGTAAACACGCAAACCCGAAGCGCAACAATTTTTGAACTGCAATTTTTAGTTGCGCCGCTCTGCCTCGCTCTATTTGACTTTCTGTTCTGTGTTGTGGTGCACTTTCTGGTGGTTGGTGGTTGTCAGCTTGGTCGGTGGTTGGATGGCCCATCCATCCCATCCATTCATTCATCCATCCATACGTTTTTAGCGTTATCAGTGCAAAATAATCTTTCAATCAGCCCTATGTATGTAGCTCGTAACTCTACTTCCCTCGTTCCCATTCGGTTCCCTGTCCCCTGAGCCATTCTCAGCTCCGGTTCTGGCTCCCAGTTCGAAGTTCTCCAGTTCTCTGGGGTGCTCTGTTTTGCTGGGTTCTAGCCTCACCGAGGCGTGACGCCAATTGTTGCAGTTGCATTTCCACTGGAAGTTGCATTTTCAGACTCGGATGGAGAGGGGCACTTGAAGGGCTTGCAGAGTAGTACCACCAGCAGAAATGGGCTGGAATCATCGAGTGGCCAACTTTCATGAGGAGGGGAGAGGTGCCACTTGTTGCTGGGAGGAGTTCGAAATTGTACGAGGAGGAAGTGACTGCCTTTTGAAACCTAATTCGACGTACAGGCTTAGAGTTGGTACAGAAAACACTTCCTAGAATGGGCTTTTCAATTCGATTTTTAGGGGGGTCTATAGGAAATATTTATAGCATTTTTTTATTAAGCTTGGTATTCCATATTTTGATGTAGAATGATGGAGAATTAAAATAGAAATCGTTTAAGATATGTCGCTCATGGATCGGATAAAAATTGGCCAAGATATGGACATCCCTGTGGGCCCTATAGGGGAAACCCCCATTTCCAAGGGATCCCATCAGGAAAAATGGACAAAAAATCTAAAAAATATTTTGTCTTTGGATTTTGATGCAGAATGATGGGAAATCGACCCAGAAATCGTTTAAGGTGCTCCGCTTGAGAATCGGATCAGAATTGGGGAAGATATAGACATCGCCGTGGGCCCTATAGAGGAAAACACCATTTCGAAGGGATCTCATCAGGAAAAATGGACAAAAAATCTAAAAAATATTTTGTCTCAGGATTTTGATGCAGAATGATGGGGAATCGATATAGAAATCGTTTAAGGTACTCCGCTTGAGAATCGGATCAGAATTGAGGAAGATATGGTCATCGCTGTGGGCCCTATAGGGGAAAACCCCATTTCCAAGGGATCTCATCAGGAAAAATGGACAAAAAATCTAAAAAATATTTTGTCTCAGGATTTTGATGCAGAATGATGGGGAATCGATATAGAAATCGTTTAAGGTACTCCGCTTGAGAATCGGATCAGAATTGGGGAAGATATAGACATCGCTGTGGGCCCTATAGGGGAAAACCCCATTTTCAAGGGATCCCATCAGGAAAAATGGACAAAAATCTAAAAAATATTTTGTGTCTGGATTTTGATGCAGAATGATGGGAAATCGATCCAGAAATCGTTTAAGGTACTCCGCTTGAGAATCGGATCAGAATTGGGGAAGATATAGACATCGCTGTGGGCCCTATAGGGGAAAACCCCATTTTCAAGGGATCCCATCAGGAAAAATGGACAAAAATCTAAAAAATATTTTGTGTCTGGATTTTGATGCAGAATGATGGAGAACCGATATAGAAATCGTTTAAGGTACTCCGCTTGAGAATCGGATCAGAATTGGGGAAGATATAGCCATCGCTGTGGGCCCTATAGAGGAAAACCCCATTTTCAAGGGATCCCATCAGAAAAAATGGACAAAAAATCTAAAAAATATTTTGTCTCAGGATTTTGATGCAGAATGATGGGGAATCGATATAGAAATCGTTTAAGGTACTCCGCTTGAGAATCGGATCAGAATTGAGGAAGATATGGTCATCGCTGTGGGCCCTATAGGGGAAAACCCCATTTTCAAGGGATCCCATCAGGAAAAATGGACAAAAATCTAAAAATATTTTGTGTCTGGATTTTGATGCAGAATGATGGAGAACCGATATAGAAATCGTTTAAGGTACTCCGCTTGAGAATCGGATCAGAATTGGGGAAGATATAGCCATCGCTGTGGGCCCTATAGAGGAAAACCCCATTTTCAAGGGATCCCATCAGAAAAAATGGACAAAAAATCTAAAAATATTTTGTCTCAGGATTTTGATGCAGAATGATGGGGAATCGATATAGAAATCGTTTAAGGTACTCCGCTTGAGAATCGGATCAGAATTGAGGAAGATATGGTCATCGCTGTGGGCCCTATAGGGGAAAACCCCATTTTCAAGGGATCCCATCAGGAAAAATGGACAAAAATCTAAAAAATATTTTGTGTCTGGATTTTGATGCAGAATGATGGAGAACCGATATAGAAATCGTTTAAGGTACTCCGCTTGAGAATCGGATCAGAATTGGGGAAGATATAGCCATCGCTGTGGGCCCTATAGAGGAAAACCCCATTTTCAAGGGATCCCATCAGAAAAAATGGACAAAAAATCTAAAAAATATTTTGTCTCAGGATTTTGATGCAGAATGATGGGGAATCGATATAGAAATCGTTTAAGGTACTCCGCTTGAGAATCGGATCAGAATTGAGGAAGATATGGTCATCGCTGTGGGCCCTATAGGGGAAAACCCCATTTTCAAGGGATCCCATCAGGAAAAATGGACAAAAATCTAAAAAATATTTTGTGTCTGGATTTTGATGCAGAATGATGGGAAATCGATCCAGAAATCGTTTAAGGTACTCCGCTTGAGAATCGGATCAGAATTGGGGAAGATATAGACATCGCTGTGGGCCCTATAGGGGAAAACCCCATTTTCAAGGGATCCCATCAGGAAAAATGGACAAAAATCTAAAAAATATTTTGTGTCTGGATTTTGATGCAGAATGATGGAGAACCGATATAGAAATCGTTTAAGGTACTCCGCTTGAGAATCGGATCAGAATTGGGGAAGATATAGCCATCGCTGTGGGCCCTATAGAGGAAAACCCCATTTTCAAGGGATCCCATCAGGAAAAATGGACAAAAAATCTAAAAAATATTTTGTGTTAGGATTTTGATGCAGAATGATGGGAAATCGACCCAGAAATCGTTTAAGGTGCTCCGCTTGAGAATCGGATCAGAATTGGGGAAGATATAGACATCGCCGTGGGCCCTATAGGGGAAAACCGCATTTTCAAGGGATCCCATCTGGAAAAATGGACAAAAAATCTAAAAAATATTTTGTCTCTGGATTTTGATGCAGAATGATGGGAAATCGATCCAGAAATCGTTTAAGGTACTCCGCTTGAGAATCGGATCAGAACTGGGGAAGATATAGACATCGCCGTGGGCCCTATGGGGGAAAACCCCATTTCCAAGGGATCCTATCAGGAAAAATGGACAAAAAATCTAAAAAATATTTTGTCTCAGGATTTTGATGCAGAATGATGGAGAATCGATATAGAAATCGTTTAAGGTACTCCGCTTGAGAATCGGATCCGAATTGGGGAAGATATAGCCATCGCCGTGGGCCCTATAGGGGAAAACCCCATTTCAAAGGGATCCCATCAGGAAAAATGGACAAAAATCTAAAAAATATTTTGTGTCTGGATTTTGATGCAGAATGATGGAGAACCGATATAGAAATCGTTTAAGGTACTCCGCTTGAGAATCGGATCCGAATTGGGGAAGATATAGCCATCGCCGTGGGCCCTATAGAGGAAAACACCATTTCGAAGGGATCTCATCAGGAAAAATGGACAAAAAATCTAAAAAATATTTTGTGTCAGGATTTTGATGCAGAATGATGGGAAATCGACCCAGAAATCGTTTAAGGTGCTCCGCTTGAGAATCGGATCAGAATTGGGGAAGATATAGACATCGCCGTGGGCCCTATGGGGGAAAACCCCATTTCCAAGGGATCCTATCAGGAAAAATGGACAAAAAATCTAAAAAATATTTTGTCTCAGGATTTTGATGCAGAATGATGGGAAATCGATCCAGAAATCGTTTAAGGTACTCCGCTTGAGAATCGGATCAGAACTGGGGAAGATATAGACATCGCCGTGGGCCCTATAGAGGAAAACACCATTTCGAAGGGATCTCATCAGGAAAAATGGACAAAAAATCTAAAAAATATTTTGTGTTAGGATTTTGATGCAGAATGATGGGAAATCGACCCAGAAATCGTTTAAGGTGCTCCGCTTGAGAATCGGATCAGAATTGGGGAAGATATAGACATCGCCGTGGGCCCTATAGGGGAAAACCGCATTTTCAAGGGATCCCATCTGGAAAAATGGACAAAAAATCTAAAAAATATTTTGTCTCTGGATTTTGATGCAGAATGATGGGAAATCGATCCAGAAATCGTTTAA